ATGGGACAAATCGCACTCTCGCCTGCATTTCGCGCACTCGACACGCGCGATCTCCGCAGAGGGGTGCCCGCGTGCAGGACAACTCGCACTCTCGCCTGCATTTCGCGCACTCGACGCGCGCGATCTCCGCAGAGGGTTGCGCCGGGATGGGACAACTCGCACTCTCGCCTGCATTTCGCGCACTCGACACGCACGATCTCCGCAGAGGGTTACATTTTCGGTTGACGCTGTTCGTCCCACCCTCCGCCTTTAAGAGAGAATTTATAAAGTGGGGAAATGTTTTTCATTAGGACATCTCCCGTGCAAGTTTTCCATACTCACTTGCATACTCAATACTCACACTTGCATACTCATTAGGACATCTCCCGTGCAAGTTGTACTTTTGCACTTGGATATACTTGCCGTTGGATGCTTTCACTCTTCCACTTACGCTGGGATACGTATAGAAGTATCAGTGTTCAAGTGTAAGTGTGGAAGCGTAAGTGTTCAAGTGTACGTGCAGAAATGTCAGTGTTCAAGTGCAAGTGTGGAAGTGTCAGTGTGTAAGTGCAAGTGTAGAAGTGTCAGTGTTCAAGAGATTTTCCGGAAGAACCCTTCGCAGTGCTTTCGGGAAAAACAGGTGTTTTTTCCAGCTGTTTGCCACGCAGGTCTGCCTACAAGGTCTCCAACGTATCGAGACGAAGCCGGAGGATCCGGAAGTGCTCTTGTGCTACCTTGAGCCACCCCCCTGAGAAACGGACAACATTTTCCATCGGCGCTTGTGTGACTCGCGTGGCAGATTTGAGCGAAGGCCAACAGACATGGGCCCCTACCGCACTCAAATGCGCATGGAGGCCGAGACATGTAAATTCACGCAAGGCCCTTGCCGCAATTTTCACTCCCACCCATGTGAAGGTGAAAATCGCCGTGTCCCCTGGCAAATGTGACGTCCAAATCTTGGATATGCTAGCAGGAGATTTGGCTTCAGACTTGTGGCACCTCTCATCTGTTTTTTTTCCTTCCCACCTAAAACAGGGCTCAAATATCGCTCTTTGTTTAGAGA